ATCTCCAAGACCTTTGAGTCCAACCTGTGCATTATGCGCACCTTGTCCCCAGCCCAGGGCGCTGAGTGCTACGTCCAAGTTTTCCTTGGACATCTCCTGGGATGGGTACTCCACACCACCCTTGGCAGCCCCTTCAATCCCTGAGCACCCTTTCCAGGCAGAAATTCCTGCTGCTGTCCACCCTGAGCCTGCCCTGGCCCTGCCTGAGGCAGTTCCCTCTGCTCCTGTCCCTGTTCCCTGGAGCACAGCCCGATCTCCCGGCTGTCCCTTCCTGGCAGGAGCTGTGCAGAGCCACAAGGTTCCCCCTGAGCCTCCTTTGCTCCAGGCTGAGCCCCTTCCCAGCTCCCTCAGCCTCTCCTCATATGACTTAAATGTGTGGCAGAGGACAGTGTGTTGCTTAGGACAGTGTGCGAGCAATTAGAGAAGCTGGAATCTCAAAGGCTTCTTCTCCCTCCCAGGAGGTCAAGGGCTGGAGAATATTCAGCAGCCCATAGGCAGTGCCTGCATGGGCTGTATGCATTTCTGCCAGGGACACACAGATGACATAGGAAGAGAATCAAAGTTGAGACTGTTGTGTCTGTGAATTATGAATCGGGTCCCAAATCCTCTGTTAGTCTGAGCAAAGTTTAGAAGCCTTTCTCCTACCTCTACCAGCTGATGTCAATGTTAAGTCTTCTGCAGGTATGGTGAAGTTACTCAGAGAATCATAGAACACTTTGGGTTGAAAGGGATCTGAAGGCCCATCTCCTTCTGATCTCCCCTGCCATGGGCAGGGACACCTTCCACTCTCCTAGGTTGCTCCAAGCCCCATCCAACCTGCCCTGGAACACTTCCCAGGATGGAACAGCCACAGCTTCTCTGGGCACCCTGTGCCAGGGCCTCACCACCCTCACAGGGACGAATTTCTTCCCAATATCTCATCTAATCCTGCTCTCTGCCAGTGGGAAGCCATTCCCTGTGTTCTCTTGTGCCATGCCCATGGTGAAGAACTTCTCAGAGACCTTTTGGTTTCGCTAATGGCACACCACAAAAGCTAAGGAAAAACAGAGAAATGTACTGCTGTCAATTTACTTGTTTTTCCTTTTCTCAGAAGGGACACCATTAATTTTCATCTGTCATCTGAATGTCCGGAAACAAGAGATCAGGAATAGCTCCTCAGTGCCTGGAATGCTGTTTAGACTGTTTTCAGCATACAGGCATGTGATGATGCTGGATGATTTACATTTAAAAAGAAAATACGTCTTGTAATTACCAAAATTTCACTCATAAAAAGAAATTGTTGTTCCAGTTGTCTGGGAACAGAACTGACTTGATTGCTGGGAGTGAAAGGAGTCTGAAAATAGTCATCTAAGAGAGGCACTTTAATTTCCTCATTTCTTACTTAACCAACGCCTGTTTGGTGTGTAGATTAAATCGGATACAACTCCCTCCCTCTGCCCCAAGCTGCCTTGGCTTCTGGAAATTGCTGGTGGCAGAGTCCAAGTTTGCTCCTGAAACTGCCAATTCTCCATCTCACCTTTCATCACTTCTCTGTGTGCCACGGCACCACTCTCTACCTCGTGCTTCCCAGCAGAGTCCTTTTCAGCAGGTGCTGGAAGCTGGGCACAAAGAGAACGTGGAGAAAGGCTCAGACCTCCCCAGAAACCCAGAACTTGAGTGCAAAAATGTAAAATTGGTTCTGCTGCTTAAATATACTGAAATCAGAGATTCAGGGATCTGGAATAGCAAACATCTCTTGTCCAGATGCTGTAAAGCCAGGGCTCTGCAGAGGAACTCGGATTTCATCAAACAATTTCCAAGTCCCACTCAGCATTGCTACCATCCTGCTGGCAGCATTTTATAAGATTTGCTCTAAGAGGACAGTCTTTAAACTCTGCAGTGGGCTCAATATTTAAATTTACTCTTGCGCTGGCTACAACACTGTGCCTCAGTGGTTGGGAAGGAATTTTACATATTCACCTTCTAGTGATGTATTAACTGGTCCCAGCATACAAAAGGCAAATGGTTGCCTTTTTAGGGATGAAGAGGAAAGCTAAATGTTATCCAGATCACTGCAGCAAGGTGAAAAACAAGGATCTTGGGCCTCTGAATGCCAAGGCCTTTCTGTTTGAGTGGTCTCATTCCACTGGGCAGAATTCCTTCCTCAGTTTCTGGAACAGCAGTGCACAAAGAAGTGCAAACATCCATCCCAGAACTGAGATGGGAGGCAGAGCACATAATGCTGCCACCCAGACACCTCTTTGCCAAGGAATGTGGGGAGAAAGGAAAATGTTGAAAGGAAAACACTCCCTCATCTGTCACAATCTCAACACATGCTTATTTCTGACAAAAGGTGCATTGAGTTTGGATCTTTCTGTCTCTAATTCCCAACCTTTCATAAGGAAGGAACCTGAGATATTGCTTTAAATGAGAAGGATGAGTTTAAAAAATCAAAACACATTTCTTTGATTAACATTCAGGAATCAAAATACTTTAATCAACTCTATGACCCATCTTCAATAGCAAAACAAAGCCACTCCTTCTTCCAAATGACATTTGAGCCACAGAAAACATTGCAACACAGAAAAATAATATAAAAATATTAGAACATTGGATCAGCTCAAATGCAGACACTGGTGAATGAAAATAATTACCATTTATCAACATTTTTTTATCCTTTATAACAGAATGAACTTTATTCAGCATTGCCTCTGACTGATTGTAGAGAAACCACAGCAGAAGTGGATCAAAGAGCTCACCTGCAGGCTTTCCCTTGACCTGAGGCAGCCTGGTCTTGCCTCTGGCAGCAGGAAAGCTGGGCAGGGCACAAAAGGCTGTTCCTGAGAGTCTCCAGCTCACTTTAAACCCTTAGCATTGTGGTGCTCTGACGCGGCCACAGCCACAGCACAACATTCCTGGCTACAGGTGAGGCTGTCCAGTGTCGGACAATTCCCTTTTCTGACCCAGAGATAGGGCAACTGAGAGGTGTTTTAAAGACTTTTATTCCATTTTCAGTCTCATGTGAAGGGTGAGACAATTAAAAGAATGGAAAGAATAATAAAGTACTGGAATGCTCTTCCCAGGGAGGTGGTGGAATCGCCATCTCTGGGTATGTTTAAAAAAGACCGGACACGGCACTTGGTGCTATGGTCTAGTTGAGGTATTAGGGCATAGGTTGGACTCAATGATCTTGGAGGTCTCTTCCAACCCCTTTATTCTGTGATTCTGTAATGTTATAATGATGTTATAACTCATGCCATCACAATCAGAAGCCAACTATTTCCTAATTACAATGCATTATAAGCATTTCTTGGCCTATCAGCTTTTGCATACACCATGCTGTAAATGCCTTAAAACCAATCATCAAAAATTACCCCTTGTGGGTCCCACTACATTGCATTTTTCACAGTTCTATTTCCCCAGTCTTATTTGCAAGGGCATCCTTTGAAACTTGTTTCTAGCTCCATTTCTCTCTCAACAATATCTGTCCTATTCCATGGCATTTCTAAGTCAGCATTTTAATCAAAGTTTGCATACGGATGCACACTGTAGAGAAATCTCTACAAATCCATTTCCCACAGTCCAAGAGCTAGGAGAGAACATCTTCAGCTGCAGGGAACAAGGAGAATGGATGTAGAGAGAGGCTCTGGCTTTTGGCTGGGAAAAGTTTCAATCAGCATATTTGACCCCATTCCCAATGCTGAAATCCAACTTGGCTGTCAAGTAGTGCCCACCCCTTTTCCTTTGTGCTTTCAAGCAAGAGGAACTTTATGCTTTTTCTTATCAAATTTGAGTCTCCTGCAAGTTCTTCTGTTTGGGGAGTTCTTAAAATGGCCCCATGCCACAGAATTCAAGAGCTGCAATTTGAAGGTTAATGGAGGAATTTCACTCATATGGAAGAATATTTTCATATTTTCACTATTTTCACTATTTTATAAATATATTTTTAAATTTATCCATATTTTTAAATTATTATATTTTAAAATTTAAAATTTACATTTTAAAATTTATTTTAATTTGTATTTATATTTTTATCAAATTTTAATTACAATATTTCATATTCTCCCATATTTTCCTATATTTTCCCATATTTTCACTGATTTTCCCATATTTTCCCATACTTTCCCCCATTTTTCATTTTCATATTTTTGCTATTTTCATTATTTTATAAATATATTGTAAAATTTATATATATTTAAAAAAAATTTTATATTTTAAAATATAAAATTTACATTTCAAGATATTTATATCTATATTTATATTTATATTTACATTTATATTTATCTTTATATAATTTTTAGTTAGAATATTTCATATTTTCAGTCATTTTCACATATTTTCACTCATTTTCCCTTCAGAATGGACATGGTTACATCCACCTCTGCCTTGTGAAGAGGCAGCAACAGGTGAGTTTGCTTGAAAGCTGCAGTTTCCAATATAATTTTCCAATAATCTGTTAACTTTTGGGCTGAAACTGCATTTCAGTAGTCCCAGTGATCTGCCATGTGCCTGATGTCTAGAAAGATTCTCATGGGTGCTTTGGTCTGCAGGGTGATGGTGGCAGTTCGTTGTGGCTGAATTCCCCCCTGGTGCTGGGGAATCCTCAGGGAATGCCAGCTTGGAAGTGCTCCCATGTGCTGCCAAGACATGAATGTCCTGGGTCCAGTGCTAAGGACAGATTTGGCTCACCCCATGGAAAACTAGTGGCTAAAAGAGAACAAAATAACTGGATTCTAGCAGCCCTTGGCTACAAACATATCAGGAATTCAGTGCTTTCCAGAGGAGAATTCAGTCGTGGGAAAAAGGCACCGCAGCCCATCGATTATCAGAGAATTACTGCTAAATGGAGAAAAGCTGACAACAAATATTTACTCTTGGATCAATTCTGTTTAAAGGGCAATGTTTGGAGCACAGCTTGGACTCTGTGGGAAGGTCAGGCTGCGTTTATATAAAGACAGAGGGATATGCACTGGGAATCCTTGCTTGGAAAGGAAAAATCCTGGAAGATTTTTGGAAGACACACAATGAGGATCATAATTTTTCTCCTCACTTTGAGCATTTTCTCATGTTCAGGTAAGTTGGAGCCTTGTCCTCCTTTTTAGGGTGATTTTGGGGGGAAAAGTATAATCCTCCAATGGACTTCTGATGGAACTGTTCCTCCCCCTCAGGGTTCCCAGTGTATGACTATGATCTCCCTGTCACAGAGGAGGCTCTCAATGCTTCCATTGCCCGGATCAATTCCCAGTCATGGAGCAGAAACCTGTATGGCGTTGTCAGGAGCCGAGTCATGGGTGTAAGTACACAGACAACAGAGATCCTTTACCTGAAATGAGCTGTCCTGGGATGGAAAACTCCTTTCCACCCAGTCCTGGAAAACCAGGTTTAGTTGGAGTTGGCTGATGCTGCTTGAAAAGGGTGGGTTTGAGCCATTATATGAAGTTACAGCTTCAGGAACCTAAATATCTTTTGTATGTAAGTTTGTAATTAAGATACTTTAGGAATTCAGATTTTTCATGCCTAGAGTGGTTTTTCATGCCTAGTTTTTCATGTCTAGTCCTTGAGGGTTGTCTTGTAGGATTTTGTTGAAAAGTTATTTTTTAAATACCTCCAGCAAACTGCTTTGCTTTGGGCATCAAGCACCCTGGCTCATCCGGAGCTCTTCGCTGGTTAAATGCCCCCACAATTCAGGATTCTTTCTCTGATCTTTATTTATGTCATCTGTCTCTATGCACCAATTCTGGTTTAAATCTGCTAGAGACTAAGTGCAAGCAAGAAACCCCTATCTGTTTTAATTTGTGGTGCTCAGAATTGTACTGGATACTTCCCAAGTTAAGGAGTGCAAACTTCTTAATTCAAAGTTATGATGTCCATGCTCCTGAACTTTCCTTTCTGTTAAAATATATTAATTCAAAGTTATAATGTCCATGCTCCTGAACACCTTCAGAACCTTCCTTTCTATTAAAACTTATTAATTCAAAGTTATGATGTCCGTGCTCCTGAAGACCCTCAGAACCTTTCTGTTCCTATAGGTGGCCTGTATCAAGTCTCTGCAAGAATGAATGTCAAGATGACGTATGGATTTATACAATTTGGATTAAAACCCCCAAGTATTTGAAAGTAGTGGGAATTTGAAAGTTGTTTGTTGAGGGGTTTTTTGGGGCATTGCTTTTTAAAATTTTCTTTTTAAGTCTCCCATCTTGAGCTAAAGTGTCACTGTAAGACACAAAATAACATGATGCGTACACGCTGCTGTTATCAAGGTAAAAAGGGGAAGTTTATTTTCTGACTCCAACATTTATAGATTTCCAAAAGTGACAGTGGATTGGAGGGTGACAGTGCCACCTCTCCAATGACACTGGACAAACCAACAGTCCATCAAATTTCTCCTCCTCCACAAAAGAATGCAAAATAATGAGTTATTTACAGAAAGTGCGTAAGAAAGTTCATTACAAAAATGTAAACATCAGAAGGCTTAGAAAATATTAAAAAATCAGGGTGGCACTGAAGCATTGATTGGACTATGAGAAAAAAGAAAGGAATAATCCAAAAGGACTAATTCTGTGTTGTGTTGACCCTGCTCTCACCAGGTGGACACGTGGGACAGCGACACTTACGGGTTAGATCTGCGCTTCAGCATCCGCGAGACTGTGTGCACCAAAGCTTCGGGGAGAGACCCCTCCACCTGTGACTTCAAAAGTGGTCCTTTCGTGGTAGGTGCTCCTGCTGGCACTGGGAACGCCCCCCCTCCATGCAGGGGAAGGGTTGCAGTGCTGCTGGTGCTGAGAGGTGAGGAATGGCTGGCTGCTTTTGATACAAGCTGCAGCATGGAGTGGGCGTTGGGTGGGAACGGTCTGTGGTGGGAAACTCTTCTGCCTGCTCCGTGGGGAGGGCAGGGAGCTGAAAAGAGGATTTGTGTCTGGGAGCAGCCTGTGGTAAAGGTATGTGTGCTTTTGGGGCCAATGCTAGAAGGAATGGCTTATTCTCTAAGTAAAGAGCTGATGTTTCACTTTCACCTATCTGGGCACCACATGAAGGGTTACCTTACATGTCATGCAGATCCCCCCTCTGTGCTCACAGTGCTGATCTCTTTGGGATTTTTCACTCTCAGCCTGAAATAAAAAGGCTCTTGACACAGCTCTTTCTCTCCTCTGAGTCTTAAATCACCAGCTTTGGTGGAAATACATTGTCTTTGAGTCTGTGCACAGACTTGGGACTTCTCTGTGCACAGTTCCTTGGGCCTAATCTCCTCTCTGCTCTGGAGCTAAACAGCTCATGTGTGTGTAGATGGCACCACACAGTGTTCTTGGTTATTGCTTTGCTTTTTTTCTTTAGGAACTCAAAAGTTGGCTGCTGCAGTGTTATCCTGTATCCTAAACTGACACAATCCTCCTCTTCTTCTTAGGGCAATATGGTAGTGTGAGGATGCCTTTTCCAAACTTGAGTGCAGCTTTTGCTGCAGTTTTTCGTCCAATTGCAGAGACAACATCTTTGAGGGTAGTTTAACTTCCAGAGCTGGGGCTGCTGTTGGCATAGCCCTGCACTGCCCTTCTCTTTGTGCTGAACTGTGAAAAGGATGTGGAGGTTTTTTTCTACCCCAAGCAGGCTCAGAGGTTTGTACAATACATAGCTGGGGGGCCATAACACCTTGTACAATTGTTCTCTGATTTCTTTCTCTTTGAATTTGTTTCTGAAATCCTTTTGCAGGTTCCCACCACCACTGAGGGTTGGTATTGGATGTTTGCTCTGTGAGATTGGCTCTGTTTTGTTCTGTTGCAGCCCACTGCTTCCTGCAGGAGCGTTGTGGAGGTCTCCGGGGGACTGATTGCCAACCTCACCGTGCGGTGCCATCGCAGTGCGGTCAGCTCTGAATCCATGAGCAGCGAGGAGGTGAGGAAGGGGAAAACCCATTTTTGCTGCCTGGAGGAGCGAAAATTCTGCTTAATTCTGCTTTTAAAGAGAAGTCCAGGTGTCTGTGTGTGCTCCTGTTGCAGGAGGAGGTTTGGATCAGGACAGTGGCTGTAGCTTGAAATCCAGCTGTCAGCTGTGACTCTTCCCTTTCCATCAGCTGAGGGCTCTGCCCTTGCCTGGGAGAGGGTGACACTCTGTGGCAGTCTGGCACATCTATCATCTCCAGCACTTTCTTCCTTGAGTATGGGCCTGGAGAACAGTGACTGGCACCTCCTAGACACACACACAAATCCCTGTAGCTCTGGCTCTGTTGCCAAACCCAGCTCCCAGCACAGCCCAAGGATATTTGGTCTGCTGAGATCTTTGTTCCCTTTTGAGCTCTTTTTAGGCTTTGAGGGTGTTATTCAATGCTGACCTAACCTGGGAATTCCTTCTGATTGTTTCCAAACTGTGCCAGGGTCCGCTTTATCCATGAACTGACTCTTGAACTTGTGTGTTTGCACTTAGAACACAGCTCTCTACAGTGGGTGTTGTGCTTGAGGGAACACAATTTAACAAGCAAGGATATGGAGAGCTTTTATTTTTGGAAAATTCAGGGAGCTAAATGAAGAAGTTGAACTGTAGGATCACAGAATGGTTTGTGTTGGAAGGGACTTTTAAGTCCATCCAGTTCCCCCCCCTACCATGGGACACCTTCCACTATCCCAGGCTGCTCCAAGCCCTGCTCAGCCTGCCCTGGAACACTTCCAGGGATCCAGGGGCAGCCCCAGCTTCTCTGGGCACCCTGTGCCAGGGCCTGCCCACCCTCACAGAGATGGATTTCTCCCCAGTATCCCATCTCACCCTGCTCTCCTTCAGTTTAAGGCCAGTCTCCCTTGTCCAGTCACTACAAGCCCTTGTGGAAAGTCCCTCTCCAGCCACCTTGTAAGCAAATAGGATCCTTTGTTAAACTTCCTTGGCTTGAATTGCCAAATTAGCTCTTCATTTATTCTTCTTTTTTTCCTCAAAATCTCCATTCACCCTAGGAAGCCTGGCTCTGCAGAGCAGAAAGACTGCACGTGGAGCTCTGGAATGTATAACACAGGCTGGGATGTTCAGCCAGTCCTCTGTGGGGTGACATTACCATTGTTTAACAGGGCACTCAGCACAAACACTTGCTTTTACAAGCAGACATCTTCCCCCTTAAGTCTTCCTTAACCATCACTTAAAATTCAGTGCTGTTGCCATATTCCTGCTGGGGAATATATTTCCTGCAATGTTAATAAGGAATAAATGCCAAAGGGAATTACTGCACTTGAAAAGTAAAGTGTTTCACTCTGCAGAGGGCTGCAGCAAGTGCACTGCAGCTCTTGCTGTGGGCTGTGACTCTGCTCAGGGGATCTCAGCTTGGCTCAGGTGGTGTTGGTGCACCTGTGGTGCTGTTTGGATGAGGGAGGGAATTCTGATTTGTGACGGTGTTCACAGGGGTTCTTGGATGAGAAAAGAGACGGAAATCTGACTCCATGTTTCAGAAGGCTTGATTTATTATTTTATGATTTATATTACATTAAAAACTATACTAAAAGAACAGAAGAAAGGGTTTCATCAGAAGGCTAGCTAAGAACAGAATAGCAAAGAATGACAACAAAGGTTTGTGGGTCAGACAGAGAGTCCGAGCTAGTTGAGCTGTGACTGGCCATTAATTACAAACAACCACATGAGACCAATCACAGATCCACCTGTTGCATTCCACAGCAGCAGATAATCAATGATTACATTTTGTTCCTGAGGCCTCTCAGCTTCTCAGGAGGAAAAAATCCTAAGGAAAGGATTTTTCATGAAAAGATGTCTGTGACAGTGATTGACTGAGGCTGGCATCACAGAATAAACACCCTGAGTTTGACAGGATCATAGGGTCCAACCCCGGGATCGCAGGAGCACCAGCAGTAATCTTGTTAGCAGCAAAATTAAGAATAAGGTTTGGAATAACTTTAGTGACCACCTTCTGCCTGAGGGGATGGAGAAATGGCACTTCTTGCCAGGTGAGGTTTTTAAAGAAATGTCTTTAATTTCCAGATGATGCATGTGCCCATAAGGACCCCTGACAGGCGGGGCAACGCTCCCAGGGAAGGTAAGGCAGCTCTGCCATGCTGGAATGCCCTGACCTATGCTCTCCTCTTGCAACATCTCAAGGTCATCTGTCTGAGGGAGAGGTCAATGTGAAAAATCAGCTGTTTGCTCCTGCTCATATTGTCTTGGTTTGGAAAGACAGGAGTCTGCTAAGGAAGGCAGGAGCCTCCCCTGAAATGGAGAATGCAAACCCTCCCTACCCCTCCCAATTGCTATAAATTTTAAATTAAGGGGCTCTCAGGCAAAAATATGGGAGCAGGAAATAACAGTTCTTTAATAGGGAAGAAAAAGAAATAAAAGGATAAAATAAACAATGCAGTACACTAGAACAACACTGACAGAGTCAGAACCCAACCTGACACCCTGTGGGTCAGGGTGTTGGTGGCAGTGCCATTGGAAATGTGGCTGCAGCCCTCCTGTAGTGTCAGGGGTGGTTCTGTTGGAGCAGGGGGATCTGTAGAGAAGGATGTATTGTTCCTCTGAAGATCCAGTGGGAGGAGAGGCAGCTGCTGTTCCTCTGGGGAATGCCGTGGAGAAAGCCGTGCTGGTGTCTCACAAACCTCTGGATTATATCTGGGTAGCAATGCTTGGCTCCTCCCTCTGGGCGGAGCATCTCCCAATGGGATGTTCTAGTTCTTATCAGCCATGCAGTGACATTCAATAGTCTGTTATCAGCAGTGTCCCCTCCTGAGGGAGGTGTGAATGTGGTCACTCAAAGAGAGAGATAAAGCAAACTGCCCACCTGACAAAGGTAATCTGCCATACAGATGGGAATGGATAGCATCTTGCATTGCAATTTTGAACACATGGGCAGCTGGTTTTTCCCTTGCAGAGGGGTGTCTATTTTAGGGTGCGTGAAGGGCACTGTCCTGCCAAGCCAGGCCATGCTGAGGTTTATCCATTTTTTGGACTGCCAGATTTGTGCTCTCATAAACACTACTTGAGTGCAGAATGCAGTGCTGAATATTTTCTATTCTAGAATCACAGAGTGGTTTGGGTTGGAAGGGATCTGAAAGATCATCCTGTTCTACCCCCTGATGTGGGCAGGGACAGCTTCCACTATCCCAGGGTGCTCCAAGCCCCATCCAACCTGGCCCTGGACTCTTGCAGGGATCCAGAGGCAGCCACAGCTTCTCTGGGCAACAATCCACACAAATCTGAAAGCATCTCACGCATACAGATGTCTCCATGTTCTTTTCTTTAGATGATGCCTTTGCTCCTGAAGCCTTCCCTTCAAGGGGAAGAGGCAGCAGCCGTGGAGACTGGAACAAACCCAGCTACTTCAACCCTGACAGGATGGAATAACCTGGCCTGGGTGAGTGTGGCCTAGGGCTAGGGCTGGGAAAGTCAGAGAACCTGCAGCTCCAGGAACACTGGGGCTGCAGAAGGCCATCCCTACTTTGCTGCTCGTACAGCTTTCTGATCTGCACCACCCGTGGTGATGAGGCTCAGGTCAGGGTAGACTTAAGGTCAGGCTTAGCTTTTATATACCCTCGGTCTGCAGGTTTTGTGGCAGGGTGGGAAGTGACTGCTCAGCATGAAGGACTTTTAGCTCCTTGGAAAACATCCCACCTCCAGAGCTCCTGGTTATGCCTCAGTTTTGAATTATCCATTCTGTATCCTCCAACATACACCCGTGTCCTGGGGTACAGGCAGTGTGCAAAGCCTGCAGGAAAATCCTTCTGTAAACTCAGAGTCTGAGTCTGTAGGCTTCTGGCCTTTTCACCCCCATTTTCCTTGTGACAAGTGTGAAAAATGCCAATCACTTGTTTTTAAAATTTTAAAAGCTTAATAGTAATAAAATGGTTATAAAAATAGTAATATAATTAGACTAATAATAATTTGGACAATTAGGATTTAGGACAATATTAGACAATAAAAACAAAGAGTTATGGACAGTCCGGGTACCTTTTCTGGGCAAAATAAGCCCGAAAAAGGCCTCATGTTAACAGAGGATTAACCCTTAAAAGCAACAGCCTGTTGCACTTTCATACACCTCATACATGGTGCATAAATTCCATTCAAACACAGGATTCTGTCTGGGCAGTGTCAGCTTCTTCCTCTGAATCCTGACAGCATCTTCAGGGCTGAGCAAGGTGGGAAGAAGTTCATTTATTCTGATAATGGATCAATAAATTCTCTTTCTCTGAAAGATTCAGGTATCCTGTGGCTGCTATCTTGGCGCAAGCACCTCACTCCTCTCATAAAAAAATATCTTACATAGCATAGTTTCTATTGTAACATTTTGTTATAACCTAAAACTATATTTAACACACTACTTAAGAAAATGAATACAGCACCACTTTCTAACATAACACATATAATATTCATTTTATTATTTGCAAAAAGCCAATCATAAAATGCCCATTTTTCACACAAGGACAGTGAGGGGCTGGAGCATATCCAGAGAGGGGATGTGGAGGAATGGTCCTGTCCTTGTGCTAAATCAAGTGCCCCAGGGCCACACAGCTCCTCAAACAAAAACTGAAGGGACCTGGGAGAACCACGGCCGGGAGAAGCACTTGGAGAATCCGTGAAGGAGATGTTTGGAAGCCAATTAACGGGAATGCTAATGAAAGGCAGCCGTGATTTATTGGAGCTGGCAGAGCCTATCCTACAGAAATCACCTTTGCTGACCTGCCTCTGCGGCTCTGTGTGGGAGCAGCTCTAATTGCTGCTGATGCTTTACCTGCCCTCTCAGTGCCTTAATCTAAAGGGAAGTGGTTTGAAAGAGTTTTAGCAGCACGGAATGAGCTCATTCTTTGGCATGCTAAGCAGGTTTGAAGTAGTTGGGGAGAGGAAATTACTTAGTGCTCTGTCTTTGTGATTAAAAAGGCTTCTTCGGGTACATATCATTAGCAGGTCTGTGTGCCTGTGCAGTGCCAGAACTGAGAGTGCTCCCTGCGTGTGGAGCTCAGCTCCAGCCTGCTGCGTTGGAAACTGAGACACTTTTAGATGGAATTTAGCACCGGTGACTCACCAAAAGCTAACACATGTTACTCATAAGCATATCCGTGGTAAACCTCGATGTGCTGGAGGAGACAAGCCTCTTGCTCTCCTGGAAACGAGATATCAAAGGAAAACCCAGGCTCTCTGCTGTGTTTGTAAGAATCATTTCATTAAATCCATATGCTATTTTGGTTTATCCCGAGCCACTAAAGCCAATAGGCCCTTTTTAATCACTGCCTGTCTTCTTACAGGAATCTCTGACTTTTCTTTGCCTTTTGGGCAGTGCTAGGTATCTTCAATTCTTTGGCTCTGGAGAAGAGCTATCCCCTTTCAGCAGCACTCAGAGATGCTTTGTGTTCTTGTGCCTAACTTTTAACAAATCTCCAACCCAAAAGCAAGATGTAAAACCTTCCTGAGAACAGAGCGTGAAGCAAGCGGGGAGAAATTTATGGTTCTTGAAACCCAGAGCAGTTTGAAATTTAATACTTTCTGCTTGCTTTTCGAAATTGGTTGCAAGTGTCATTTATGGAGCTGTATTTCATGCATGTGTCAGCTGTGGAGCTGTTTTTTCTGAGGAGTTTCCTGGGTTTTGGACGTGTCAGAGGCAGATACATCAGGAGATTTAAAGATAATATCAACTCTACCCCAAAAGCCCCTTCTTCCTCTTACTTTTATCAATTTGACTTATTAGTTGCAAAGCCTGGAAAGGAATCTTCCTGATTTTGCTGGTATCCAGAATTAGAGGATTTCATTTGAAGCCAAAAATTAAATAGATTTTATGTGTCTGAGGCCAGGAAAAGTTGTTCCCTGCTGTTTCTCCTGGGTTTTGGCATATGTGTGATCCTGGCTGGCATTATTACAAGCCATGCAGGGCTTGGTGGGGGCATGGGAAATGAGTGCTGAGTTTTGAAATGGCAGTCGGCTTGACTGGCTTGGCTTAGCTGAGAAGATTTTGGGGGAGGCTGGGGAAATAGCAATTCAGTAATAGAAGACTTTCATCTCTTTCTGAAAGAACCTGGTGCTGACAGGCAAAGCTAGACAAGTCCAGGTAAGGAATGAAATGTGATTTTTTCTTTTTTTTCCTTTTACACTCCAGAATGGGTAACTGACTGCTGCAAAAATTGCTCAGGCAAGTGGCTGACAGTTTTTCAAGCTGGATTTTACATTTCTGAGCCAGGCCTTCTTATCTTTTTGGCTTCAGGAATTATTTCAGGAAAATTCCGTTCCTGACTTTGTGCAAGAAGCTGGTCTAAATGAACTCACTGGTGCTTTGTAGCTCTTTTTATTTATTAGAATGTGCTAAATATTCAGGAGGGGGAAACAAAATCAGTGCCATTGTTACATAAAGAACATTTTCAAGTCTGCAGTCTTCAGACCCACCAGTCTGCTGGTGCCTGCAGGAATTAGAAATTGAATATGAAAAACCCCATCAATGATTAATGAGCTTACTTCAGTGACAAGTCCTAATCAGATTTTCTGGATTTATTTCCCCGTCCATCTCCAAACTGGGGAGATTGTGAAATTCCCATGGCATGCTCTGGGGCCAGCCTTTCCCATAAATAGTTCAGGCACACAGGGAGTGACAGGAGGGGGGGAAAAGCTGCTGTACAAGAGCTGATCACCTGTTAACAAACCTGAGCTGGAATCTGCTTGATGCTGCTCTGAATTGCAAAGGGGAGCCTAAAAATGCCTCAAACTTGCCACCACCTTAATCCCCAGGGAGCAAAAGGGCCCTGATGCTTTGCTGTCCCCAAATCACCTTCCTAAGGCAGCTTTTTCTTGTGCAGACCCGTGAATTACATCTGGAGTCTCCCCAGCAATGCTTCATGTCCTTGAACGGGAAAATCAAGAAGCAAGTTCCTGCCTTTGCAAAATACAAGTAGATGGTGAATGCTGATTGTGTCTTGCTCGTTAATCACACCAGAAAAGTGATTTAACAGGAAATCAGCTTCTTTCAGTGCTGAGCCAAGGGGCTGTGATTTCCTCCTCGAGTTTTCTGTATTTTCCTTACAATTGCTCCCTGAGTGAGGACTCTGTAACCTGGCACAGCTCGATGCTGGCAGTCCTGAGGAGCTGATTAGCAGCACTGCACGTGCAGAAGTGGCATCCTTAAATATCAGAGTTGGTTTTTTAATGGAAGAGTATCAGGCAGCATTGGGCCTCTTCTCACAGCTAAGAAATCCAGGATCTGACCTTCAGAGTGAAATGGGTGCTTGTTTATCTGTCTCCTGTAAATACAATAGCAGAGCAGGGTTCTCAGCTCTCCTAGACTGTGGAAAACTGAGCTTTAATCTCCAGTGCCCTCATTAAGGAGCTGCTTGATTTTAGTTGTGGTTTTATATCCTCATGTGTGATGGTGTTCACAGGGGTTTTTAGATGAGGGAAGAGACGAGGGTGTTGACTTCATATTTCAGAAGGTTTGATTTATTATTTTATGATATATATATATTACATTAAAACTATACTAAAAGAATACAAGAAAAATTTCTCATCAGAAGGCTAGGCCTATGAATAGAAAGGAAAGAAAGAATGATAACAAAAGGCAGCTGTCTTTGTCCGAGACAGCTGGGCCTTGATTGGCCATTAATTATAAACATCCAAGATGGGCTAATCAAAAATTTACCTGATGCATTTCACAGCAGCAGACAGTCATTGTTTACATTTTGTCTTTGAGGCCTCTCAGCTTCTCAGGAAGAAAAAAATCTTAAGGGAAGGATTTTACATGAAAAGATGTCTGCGACACTCATATCTTTGTTTTTGCCTCTCCTGCTCACCCACCCACTTTCTACGGTCCTCATAAAGCTGCTTATTGCTTTCTGTGGGAGAAAAAAAAAAGGAAAAAAAAAGAAAAGTGAAGCAGCAGAGGGAAGGAGAATCCCTGCAGGGTGGGATCTGTGGCAGGGTGTGTGAGCTCCATGTCAGATGGGCTTTGGGAGCAGTTTGGTGCTTGGGGAAATGTCAGGATGCTGTTTTATCACAGAGCCTGGCCGTGCTGGCCGAATCCTCAGTGCCACCTGGCAGCTGTGATGTGCTGTGGCAGGGGACAGCATGCTGTCATCTGTTCAGAGGCAAACAGAGCCAGGCAGGACCTGTCCTGCTGCAGGGGTCAGAGCGCGGCAGAGGTGTTGGAGCAGAGAGGGAATTGCTGTGACAGCCTCCCCATGCTGTGAGCAGCAGCAATTTTGGTCTTGCCCTTTGTCCTCCCCCTCTTCTCGGTGTGTTTTGAAGGATTAGACCCACAGCCAGGTGGAGGAAATTGTTCCTCCCTCCTAGGGAGGGCACGGAGCTTGAATGATCCCTTACACTTCACAGGCCCCTCTGTCTAATTCCAGGAGAAAACCAACAGGACTTCCTTC